GCGTAGGAGGGGCCCGAAGGTGACTGCTGCCCCAGGGCCCGACAAGGCTCTCGACGGCCCTGCACACACACACACACAGACAGACACTCACACACGACGTACAGATGCCAACTCATTCACAAGGCTATGCACACACGATACATAAATTTTCATCACACGCATGTTCAATGAAGACCGGAGCTACTGACAACAGCTGACAGCTGTTGCATAACGTGTTTCGTTATAAGCATGCAGTTCGGAACTATAATATGAGTTTTATTTGAATTAGTATAAGCTGGCATTTTGAAAATTAGGTTCCGAAAGGGGGAAAGTACAAAGGAGTGGAGAAAGAGAGGGGGAGAGAGAAGAGAGAGAGAGAGAGAAAGCAGGAGGGAGAGAGAGGGGGGAGAAAGGGGGACTGGAGGTCGGTTAGATTCATTGTAAATTAATCATTAATGTTTTTAAACTGTTCCATGCCAGTGCCATCCATAGCAAAAAGAAGTTTTACGTCATTATAATGCCAACGTGGTTGGTGAAAAAGGCACAAAATTTCAAAAGCGAATAGCTATTACTGCACGGTACACAACTAGGCCTGCAGATTTTTAATCTAGTGTTATCATAATAGTTCAATATCTTTCCGTTTCCTATTCTTTAAAAAAATAGGAATCCGCTACATAATGTATATTATGATCACAAGAGGGGAATTAATAAGACCAAAACAAAGCTTTGAGAAGGATTGAATGGGTTGAGTTGGAGATAATAGTAATAGTGAATCATCATGATAACTGAAAATGTACTGCTGGGAACAGATTATAGTTGCCTGTCTGAGTTTAGTGAAAGGAAGGACATCAACATGGTAAGTCAAGCAAGACAGAAAGAACAAAAAGTGGAAAGTTTGTCGGTTTGTTTGAGTAAAGAGAGACACACTCTGACACAATGATGGCCGTTTAGTGCTGGCAAAAAGTAAGACAGGCAGATATTCCATAAAATAGATACCCCCAAGCAGGGATCAAACTCCCCTCATTTACACGCAAAGACCAAAAGCTTCACAATTGTACATGTACCACAGACAAGGGTGGGGGCATAATTTATGTTAAAATAATTGGAACACTTACGAAAGGAAGAAGGAGCAGACAACACGGACCACCGTGAAAGAGATCCACGAGCACAAAGAGTGAGTGACATATTGAGAGACGGGAGAATTTGGACAATGAAATGACCAGCTGGGAAATCATCAAGAGAACATTACGACTTCATCAGAGGAGCAGGCAAGGCACAAACGTGACAGGAGGGATAAGTGAAGGGTCGCAAGGTGTTCAAAACCTGGCACTTGAAGAGGAAGCGATAAACGCTCTCTCGAGAACAGATGGCGTTCGGAGATAGCTTATCCTGTAAAACAACTTTAGCGACTTCGAATAACTGTCAGCACTTGACAAGCAATGCCAGCAGTCA